GAACTGGAAAATGAAAGGTGGTCTTTGACTTTGCACAGTACTTTGTCACCACATAGTTAATTTAATTAATTCATAGATAAATAAATAAATGATGTGACATTCAGAGAAAACAGGAGAACAGAGCCTAATCTTTCCTAATTTAACTTTAAAAACTGATTTTTACTGTTTAAGTTCCATTTCATCCCCTCACCTGTGCCAGTCAGTGACAGCTGCCTGATCACACCACTTAACTCATCAGGCAGAGTTTCTGGAAATCTTTTAAGAGCTGTCACTTGTAGCCTGGAGGTTGGAAGCGAGAATGAAGCGCTCATAAACAGGTGTGGTTAGGTTTGAATGCAAAGCCCCCAGGACACTCGCAATATGCAAACATTTCCAAAGTGAAAGCTGCCTGATCACACATGCAATACAAATGAACAAAGTCTGCCTAAAAAATACTGTTGAACACAATGTTTACTGGTTTCTTGGAAGGACTTGTGTAGATAAAATACTGGAAATTCCAAGCAATGTATTAATATGAAGCACCTCATAAGGAGTTGGGCCACTGTATGCAGTCATACAAGTCGTGAACTGTGTATGGGACACGGGACCAATCTTCAAGAAAGCTTCCATGTCTTTGATGGGTGAATGTTGAAATCAGCTTCATGCTCTACTCCAGGATTCCCTCATAAAGGTTCAATGATGTTTCTGTCTTCTGATTGAGGAGGCTGTAAAAGTTGTTTGACATCATCCTGGGTTTCAAGAAACCCCTCAGAGTCATTCTACACTGTGTCTGCCAATGTCATGCTGGAATACGGACACATGAGGAGGCAGTGTTTACAGCCCAGGTCGCCACCAGTCCTGTAACATGGCTTCATGTTCCTTGGCTATCATATAACCGTGTTTATAAAACGGAGGTTTCCGGTCCTAAAATCTGATTGGCTGAGCCGCGTTCGAAGCCGTTGTAAAATCCAGAGAGAATTACCTCTCCGTAATGTCGTCAGGGTTCCTCAAACGCTAGAGGGCGCTCCCGAGCGAGTCCAAAATGAATGGGATAAGATGGAGCATTGATGAATGCTTAAACATTTTTAATGTAAAATAATACATTTATTTCCTTAACATTAAATAACATACATTATTTTAACACCGCTGTTATATTTTTAAGAGCCTTTAAAGTCGATTTATAGGAGTTTAAACCGGCGCCCCATGTATGTCCATGACGTCAGTGAGCGCGAACAGCCAATGAGCTGCTCCGCTCGCCAACCAATCAGCAGTAAGTAGCAGTAATACCAGCGTTCAGTTGCCTAAAACCCGTTTGCTGTAGAAAAAAGTATTTATTTATTTATTTATTGCTTTTTAGTGAAATACATCCTTCTACTTTCTAAAATTAAAGGAAAGTTCAGGGCGAGTGATTAGAAACTATTTTAACTTTACGTTTTTAACTCGCTCGCGGGCGCCCTCTGCTGGTTGGCTGGCCTGTTTTGATATAGCTAACAAGGGGAATAGGAAGTGGCCAGGCTCCTCATAAGCCGGCTCTGGATATACCACGGCTATGACCGCCTCACAACAACTGATGAAGTAAACATCCGTTTTTGTTTAAACTGTGGGGCTGAAAACGTATTTTCTTATCTAGAACTATGTTGGTCAGCAAGCCAACAGGCTAAAAGATAGCAAACATGCTAAACAACGCCGACATTAATATCACATGCTTGAATTAACGTACTCACGATATGATTCACTGAAAAACGGCAGTATAAAAGTCTAAATAATGTCACCTGAATGGCTTACACGCTTCAAATGTCCGTGTTTCAGTCAGAAGTAGCATCAAACCCAGGCTGAATCCCAAACGGCTCCGTACACCCTAGCTAAATAGTGAGCTGTGTAACAAAGTTTAGAAATTCTAGCTTCTGTTGTCAAATAGTGCACTGCCTGTCGAGTATCCGTGAATCCCAAATGCCATCCCATTTTTAGCGATATTTTGCATTGTTGGGGTGCAGGAATCAGTATTTAGCTGAATTCCTACCTAGTGCACTAAGTAGGGAGCAGGGAGCCGTTTGAGATTCAGCCCCAGCGTGAGAAAAGTGGCGTGGTCAGACTGCAGAAGACTCACGGTGGGAATTTGGTGACCAAAAAGTACTTATAAAATGAACGTTTTTGCATTAAACCGAGCGATGTTACATATATTCACTGTTATACGAAAAAAAGTTTTAAATAATCATATAATGTCCGCAGTTTACAGTGATCGGCGACCGAAAGTTCTCCTCCTCATTCGGCAGTCACTGGCTGTGTGTACATGCAAAGGTGTTTGCCAGTCCGATTGAATACATTCCGATTACAGATTCAGACTGAGGTGTTTATGCTCACTCTACTCAACAATCTGATGGAAATCTCCGTTTACATGTAACACTACAAGTAACGTTAATCAGATCCAAAATAACGCGCATGCGTAGAGCACCACTTACAGTAAACGTTACCATGACAGCGAGCATCACGTGAGGTCCACCCGAGTGAGACGGGTTTTCAGCTTAACTTCTTTAAAACTATGGCAGAAAAACGTTCCTCACATTTATTAAGGAAGCGGCGAGAGGAAGACGGCGTGTTCTGAGACACACACGCTGCTCTTTTAGAGATTAAATCAGAAACCTCGTCTCCTCTGCAGACCGGTTTCAATGAGAAAATACGGTGAGGAGGAAAATCTGTCCCAGACTGTCCAGATTAGTAATCCGTACTCTCAGTTTATAAACTGTGCCCACGGATTTGTAAACTGTACTCTCGGGTATCAAATCTGTACCGACGGATTTGTAAACTGTACCCACAGATTAGTTAGATAACTGGGTAAAGCACGCGCCGCCTCCCACAGCTACGCTACAGGACACACTGATGAGACATTTTGAGAAAAGGGGGAATTTTGTGACATTTCAGAATGAGGGCAGGCTTTCGTGATGAAAAGATAAATATAAGCAAGTAACGTTACGTGAAATAAAGCAGGCATTACTAGAAAGTAGGTAGGATATTGTGCTGTAGGTTTTTCAACCGGCTTTAACGTCGCATTAAATCAGTTTAACCTCGCTGCTTAACTGGAGTGTTTTGTAGAAATGTATTATGTGAATGGACCTGTTTAAAACGAGGCAAAAATAACCTCGTTTTTGCCTATATTATCCCACCACGCGGCCAGCGGCGACTGAGGGTCTCAAAACCTAGCGACCTCTCTACATAGACAGCATTTTACGTCACAACATGCGCGCTCCCGACAAGAAGGCTGTCCCAGTTCTTAGATATCTCAAACATGCTGCCTACTGAGGTGCCTCATTTTGGCCCAATATCGAGAGAGCATCGGATGCTTCCTCAGCCGCTGAGGCAATCCCGTTTGTTTGAAGATGGCGGGCAGAAGCGCTTCACCAAGCAGCGACGTCATCTTCAAATGTACGTTATTCTGATTTTCTGGGGTATTTATTTGTTTTCTAGTCATAAAGGTGCACAAATAGCCTTTACTTTCCGCGTTTGACCACAACTATGGTCTATTTTGCTGTTTCATTCAGAGCAAATACAATTAAAATCGCTATATAAACCGCCAGAGCAGATCCATGTTAGCTAAATGTGATTCTGACGGCTGAGGTAAGTACACGCCGGTCTCGTGCAGTGGGCGGGATCAAGCGGCGACGTCACTGCTGTCTAACTAGAGCGTCACTTATCAGCCTTATAAGGACAGATGACGGTTGGAGCGCTGCCTATTTAGACAGCTACCTAGGTAGACAGTTGCTACTTAGAGAGCTCACCAGGTTTTGAGACACACCCTGAGTCTCAGCCCGGAGAGCACAGCGCGTGTTAAAGGGAATAACGTTAAACCCCGACCATGAAGGAATTGCTGGCTGTTTGTAGCCCAGTGAACAATCAACGTTGAAATCATGGAAATCACGTGCATGAGCGTCGTTTCAGTACAGCACAGTTTACAAATCCGTGGGCGCGGTTTATAAACCGAGAGTACGGATCACTGAACTGAGGGCACAGATTTTCCTCCCCCAGTTTTAAGGGGGCTCCGAAAGCTTCTGATCCCGTCATGTTGAACGTTATAAACTTTCTCTATGACGCGACGCACATGCGCAGAACGTACTTAAACCTTTCTGATTGGGAACGTAATCAGATACAGGAGTTTACACGGCTGTTATTCTTCTATTTAACGGACTATTCACTGGATTACCCGCCTCGTTCAATCCGATAGAAATTGTATTCCGAATGGCCTCAATCGGACTAGTCTATTCCGATTGAGGTGTTTACACGGACATGTTCTAATCCGATTCAGCTATTATAGTCAGATTATTAACTAGGCTGCATGTAAACGTGGCGACTGGTTGCTTAGCAACGGTGCCGTACTCTAAAAGGGACTATATTTCTTGGCGGAATACTTGTTTATGTCGATTATTATTATTAAAAACTTAAATAATTATCGAAACATTGTGTATTTTACTATGTTTTATGTTGACCGCCGTTTTATAAAAGCAGTAAGACACTAGAGGCAGCGCGTTACTGCGATTTAATCACGGGGAAGGGTGCTCGCAGTAACCCACCCTTATTGCTTTAATTTTCCAGCTGTCTGAAGCTCACAACCTACATTTTGCTTGACAGACTTCATGATTTGCTGAAGCACCTCCAGTTCATGCATCAACCATGTGATCTCTGCTCTTTGTGCTGCTTTGCAGCCTCTCATAGCAAAGTGCTGATCTGACTTCTTTAGTCCATTTTCATGTAGTGTTTCCATTATTTTGTCTAGTACTGTTAAAGAAAAAAACAAGCCAGCGCAAAACCAAATAAAGATGGCACAACGCTATTCTTACTTCTCCAATTCGATACTAAAACCTAGAGTATCGTCAGATACAGTTACTGCATACTAAGGTTTAAAACGAGCAACTAAAAGTAGGTTTCCCCTTCAATACCCAAACCAGCATTTTCTGATGTCCGCCTGATACAGATACTGCCATTGATCCTGATATGCCATCTCTATAATCAAATAAAAAGTAAGGCATGCAGGATTTACATATTTCATCTTTATTTTTGAACCAACATATGTAGTCATGGATAAATCTCCACTGTGTTATTTCTATGTAACGTAACAGAAAGCTATATAAACATATTGGGGAGAAAAAAAACAAAAACAACAAAAAAAAACAAAAAACAGCAAACATGACAGCTGGTTCCAGAAGCAGCAGCAGTTTTGCTCTGGATATTTTTCCCATCACTCAAATGCTAGCAGGCCAATATCAACCCATGAAAACATACAACAAAATGTACTTGGCTACTTAAAAAAAAAAGAACAATAATAACTCAGGCAACAACCTTTTATACCAATTGTTGTCTTAAGGTAGCAATCCTCTGCCCTTTAGTGAAGACTAGCATACTAACGCTGGTGGTTCAAATTCATAAATTCCCAAAAAAAGAAAGGAAAAAAATAAAAGACCAACACATTTTGGAAGCACAGTATTTCTCTTGCTATGGCAATACATCCCATCTTTCTGGACACCTGCCTAGAAAAGAAACTGAACATTCGGGCTTGTGTTAAGCTCCTTAGTGTCCTAACCACCCAACACAAGTGCTCCTGACCTTTGGACACTCTGGCTTTTAAAGGTCAGATCTAAACTTCCACCAACTTTGCTAGCATAAAATAAGCAACAAAAAAAAAAGAAACCAACATAGTCACATTGAAAAATACAAAATAAAAATCCAGATTTTACCCAAAATGCTGCTGCAATACATTACTGATCAAGTCATTTCTTAAGGGATGAAGGTGGGGGAAGGTTAAAGAATCAATTTGATTGGCCTGCCTTCTTTTTTGCACACTATGGGAATATTTGCACCAGATATGCTGAAGGACTTTATGAATGTAAAAACGAAAGTAAAGTACCTTTATGAATGTACGGTTATCAAAAAATGTGTTGCAATAGCCAGCAAAGGAGATCGACAGCCGTTTACATTTATTTCCCTGACTGTCATCATTATTATTTTTTTTTGTTCATTGCTTTAATACCCATCTCCTTGGGACTAATGAAAAGAAGGATGAAGAGAAAAATAGCAGATCTTGAGGGTGGATTACAAACCATGTGACAAAAGCTTCCCATTTCAAAGCTTCAGCTTCTACGACTGAGTGTTCACAAAAGTACAAGCTCTTTCCTTGCAGTGCTGAGACCTGACTGGAACGATACGTACAGAAATGACTGTCTTCATACGTAAAAGAACAGAAAATATTAAAAAAAAAACAAAAAAAAAAACGGAAAGACAAACACCTTAACATCCTTTTAGATCGGGGATAGAAGTCTGCTACACCTGACAATGTGCCATTTTAAGAAATGTTCTACACATGCTTCTTGCCCTCTACCAGTGAAGGTAGGAGGGACCAGTTTCTTCAGAGTGATTTCCCCTTTTCACTGTATGAAGAAACTCAGCACAATGTTTATAATAACTAACACATCACAGGACAGCTTTGGTATCGTATGTATGTAGATCTATAGTATCAGCTTTCAGTGGGGTAAAGAAGCAGCAGCAACTACTCAATGACTGGACCTAGAAACAATAATACTGAGCTGTCAATTCATACTGCTTAATCTAATTGCCACACAAATGCACACGAGCCAGGATTCTGGACTCTGTATCTAGAACAGGGGTCTCAGTTCCCCTGAAAAAACACACCTACTAAACCTTGCCAATAATAGATGAGGTGAATTAGGAATCTCTGAACTAGTAAGAGAGGGAAAAAATGACCAAACTGGACTGGAGACCCACCCTCCAGAACTGGAGATGAAGACCCCTGATCTAGACTCAAAATCAACAGGCCTCTGAAGCTGTGTCATTCTGCAGTCGGAAACATGCCCGTCTTAGGAGCTCTGGTTTTGTCTATGAGAAAAATGAATAGTATTTTTGAAAACTGTCTCTGTTTCACCTTGTGGAAAACAAACATTTTATAAAACCAATTTCCCAAGTGTCACTGAATCTTCTGAGTTATAAGGCTGTTCAGCAGTTCAAGCAGAAACAAATAATGTTATATACATGCTGCAAGCAAGCTGACACTGCTCTGCACTGAAATTATCACATGAAAATAAATCTATTAAACTCCAACATTCTTAATTACCAACACCAGCTACTCAAACGAAAGGCTACTACTGCCAAAGCAACTTTCAACTAAGCTTGCTGGTTTATGTGGGGTGTTTTTGGTAAAGCTGCAAGTCTTATGATATCAATTTAGTGCACAGCAGTGTTAGCTTGTATGCAGCATTAGTCATATTTCAGCTCAAAGAGGCAATTCAGAGGATCCGGTGGAAGAATAGTACGGTTAAACTTATCGTCTTTGGAACGGGGCATGACTGCTTAGACCCGGAGCTCCTAATATGGGCCTGATGCTGAGTACAGAATGACGCACAACTTCTGAAGTCCACTGAAGAAGCCAGGCTGCCTAATTGAAGGTTGCTATCCAACAAAAGTCGCCACCTGCCCTTCGGTCCCATCTAACTGAACCCTATGGAGATGGGAAACACCCACACCTAGTGTTTGATGTGGCAGTCGCCATGGTTACAGTAATGAGGTAGAGAGCCATCCTGAAGCCAGGACTGATGTTTTCATATGCTCCCCAGTCAGAAAGGCCATAGGTGGCTGTTTGAAGCATCCGCATATACCAGTACATACATAATTAAACAGAGAAGCAGACAGACAGAGCTGCACGTTACATTACATGCATACATTAAACACTAACTCACTCCTGCCATTACATTCATTCGGTCAGGCAGTTTTGTCTGTCTGCCTGTCTGCTAATTCCCTAGGCCTTTGTGAGCCGGTAGGCAGGGAAAACCATCGATATGGAGACTGGACATGAAACACTGAGGACGTACAACCTCCTAATGGACTCCTTTTCCACCAACATGCGCCAACAAGACAGCCTGTCCCAACCCTGTACGCATCACATAACGCAGGACCTCTAAGACATCAACTCTGCTTAGATTCAAAGCTTATATCAGCTCATGATGTAGCAACACTCAACTTCGTCATCAGTGTATTTTCGAACGTCTGCTAGCAATTTTCGCTGTAACCTTGCTCCAAGTTTGACTCGACAGTATTTTTACAGATTAGTTTGAATCATCCTCATGTGATGTGTATAATAGCTTCCCTTTGGTGATCCTTAGTTTTGGTTATTGTTCACATTCATTCAACCGCAAACGCACCTTCTGCGGTTTCTAATGGTCGTCTTGATTTCCATGTTTGCGCTTAGTTGCTTGTGGCTTAGCCATGGAGGGGGGTTTCTGTGAGCTCACGAGGGGGGGGGCAGTGGGGGAAATTGTGAAATGTTCTTGTAAGACCCGCCCTCCAAACCTGGACTTGCTAAGCCACCGAATTAACGGATATTAAAAGCAGGGTGTCAATAAAATGGTGAAGAAAGAAGAACAAAAGACAGAAAAAGCTTAAAAGAAACACTTTAAGCTCTGTGTAAGTTGTGTGAATAAAGCATAGTGAATAAAGCCTTCTGACACATGATGGGGGAAAAAAGGAAAAAAACAAAAAAAAAAAAAAATGAACTGATGGCCATTTTGATAAAAGCACTCTTTGCTTAATTTTCTTTGTTTTTTTTTCTAAAATGACATTCCCATTTTAGTATCTCCTTTATAGGTTTAAAGAAAAAAAAAATTCAGAAGTTCATAGAGATATGATACATAGCTTGCTCCTAATTGGACGATTCAGGTAGGGGTGTAGGAGGAGCTTCACAAGAAGCAGCCTGATTGGCTGGCTGGAGACGGCGAGAGCTTTGGCAAAGCATTATGGGAGGGGGGTGGCAACCATGTCCCTCTAGCCTCTCTGAAAAGCAGGGGTTTTGGGGTCAGGAGTCATGGGTTAAGGGACATAGGGATAAGGGATGGGAAGGTAAAACAAAAAGAAAAAACAAAAAAACGCTGTGCTTGTAAGCCAGCCGCCAAGGCATCAGGGCTGCGGCTTTAAGAGTGGGACGACAAAGGGGGACCAGGGGCGGCAGGGTCAGTCCTCACATGGATTCAAACTCGTCAATTCTCTGCTTGGTGTTACCCTGGCGGATCTGCCGGAGGGTCTTGTACTTGTCCCTGCCAGCCTTGACGTTCTCGGCATGTAGAACGTCGTTCTGGGTCTTCTTGGAGTCGTCCCGGGCTTGGGCCAACTCTGAGCTCAGGGCCTGGAGCACAGAGAAAAAGAAATGTTCAGTCCTATGACTTGAGTGATATGATGTAGCTGTTGAAATCAGCTGATATCAGAGGGACATAAAGCCTGAAATTAGTATTCATATCATTTGTTATGTAATGTAGTTCATGCCTCAGCCTCATTGGTTCAACACAGTCTATAATTTTGTATCGCTACGATACACAGCATGCACTGCTAAAATACATCACACAATCATAGTGCTTAATAAATCCTGACTGCTAGCCACTTCCCTAGAGGCAGTTAAACATTTGTATAGCCCAACCTCAAGTAACTATCCTCCAGCACTTGTAGTCTTTTTCTTTCTCATTCAAGTTACATCAGAAGGGGATTTCCTCATCTTTAAAAAAGGAAGTCTTGCTTTAGAGAATACTGCACGACACGAGTGCTCTAGTTAAAAAAACTGACGTAGCAATGGTTGTTTTCATTTTATCAGTGATGTCCTCCAAGTTTCCACATTTACTGACATCAGCAGGTATCCTGTCGATAACGCACTAATGATGTCTGGGCACTAAAGGATACTAATAACGGTCTAAAGGATACTAATAAGGCTTCGCCCAACCATCACATAAATATGCTGATGCTACAGACGTCCAATTCAGACAGGAGCCATTTGCGTTCGGGGTTATTTTTAGCACAGGTTTTGACTTTATGCGAGCCACTGTGGACCTTGCTGCTTAAATTGAGTTATAACTCATTCAAAATGTAGTGCTAACTGCTTTTCATATATTCAAACTGTCAACGATACCAGCCTGTTTAAGTGACATTGTTGAAGTCTGTTTAAATTTTGCAACCATGTAAAATTATATTGGCAAACACTGGTTATCAAATTTGTAGCATTGAGGCAACTTGGGCTCTATCAGGTTCACATGCAGTGTAAGTGTGATGAAACTAGGGCAGCCTCAAAAACATGAGCCCCAACTCCAAAGACCAGACACTTCCTCATAACAGCTCACCATCTGAGTTGTTGGACAGATCAGAATGAAACTAAGAAACAAAAGTTTCATTATAATATGTCCAACAAAGAAATGAGAAAATTAGTAAAATTTTTTATCACTGCTGACAGCTTAAACTTAATATGGGCATCAAAGTACGGTTTCCAATATTTTTCATGTACGTATCTTTCATTGCACCATGAAAAAAGAAGTGACTGGTCACGCAGACAGGACTTTGAATGATGGCTGCTGCGAAAGGGAGAGGAACTGGAGAAGGCATAATAGAGGAGTCAATAGATTCAATTAGATTAATGACTGATAGGTTAATTGATGGAACTACTTTTTATTACAACCCTAAAGTACATCCCCCGAACTTCCTCACTGAATTTAAGGTTTCACGGACACTCAATGACACTCGATGCCTGGAAAGCTATAACAGTGGTTCTTTAACCCTGTCCTCAGAGTTGCAAAACACAGGAATTGAAAATAATATTGACTGTCTGGTTTTTCTGTAGGTCAGTGGTTCTCAAACACAGAAACCTATTTAAGGGTCTAGAAAATATTATGAAGCTTGTAATCTGAATAAATACAAGTGGATTCAACACGCAAGTGCGAGCTCACCTGGAGCTGTTTCTTGACGCGTTCGTTCTTCTGGGCTTCAGTGAGGCGGTCCTCCTCGCTGCGCTGGTGTGCCACCCCGTCGTTGGACAGCTCGGCGCTGGCCTCGGCACTGCTCTCGTCATGCTCATCATGCTCGTTCTCTGCAGAGCCGCCAGCTGGCACTGCTGCAGTCATCACATTCTTCAGCTCCTCTTTGGTCTTCTCCAGGTCGTCCTGGGCTGAAATAGCCTGAAGGAACAGGACAGCAGGGAGGTTCATGAACACAGTAATAAAAATGCATTAACAAATCCACCCACTTGATCTACATGATTGAGAGGGTCGTGTGAAGAGTGTATGACCAGTTCACATTACATGAACTAGAACAGCACAAACTGATCATGCATGTGCTTTCATCCAGCCACATGAGGGCACCATGACATTTAGGGTGCCTACACACTAGAGGCTGACGCAGCGTCAGAAACACAGCACTCCAATGTATTTCATTTAGGACGCTGCGTCTGTAACATAGAAACGTGTCTGTATGCAGTGAAAGGACATCATCGAGTGTCAAAAAAGTTCAAACCATTTCAACTTTTTCTGCAAAGCACTCTAACGTGGAGGCATGTCAACCAATAGAAACATGCAGGCTGAAGATGGGGAGAGTAGCGACACTATGCACTCTTTAAGTGTTCTATATGACTTCTTTGCCTACGTGGCTGTTGTCTGCTTGGCTTTGTACATGGCTATCGTCAAAAAATTTCAATGGCCCATATTTCATTGTTTCTGGTCCAAATGTTTTGTTCTGAATTTCGAACTGCACTCTGTCCCCGCTCCTGCCGTGTACATGCATTCTAACAGGACATGATCTGCATGCACCTGCGTCTACTGCTCCGTCATTGCGTTGTCTAGTATGTAGGGACCCTTACGGAACTGAGCCACTAGCGTCAGTGCCAGGCACATCTGGTTAACAAAATGAATTTGAATCTGTTTCTAGATGAGGTGCCAGATCAACCAACGTCATGAGAGATTCATCTACTTTGCTTAAAGTTTCTAATTTCCAAAGAAGATGTTCCTCTTTTTTCCCAAAAAGTTGGGCAGAATTTGTGGTCTGTCAGGCAATGCCCACGCTGTAGTGTTATGACTCAGTGATGCTGCGTCATTTGGCAAATACACATGAATATCAGTTTGAATACATTTTTTTCAATCAACAGCCCACAAAAAGGGCTGATTGCGAAGTCGTGGTTTTGTGTGTCACCCTAAATTTGAGCTTACTAAGCCACATACAACTGACAACAAATTAGAAAAATAAAGGTCTCGTTTGTGTCTCATTCATTCTTTTGATAGTGCTGATTCTAATCTTCAGAACTTTTATTTTGTTGTAACTACACAAATATAGACATCCTAAATCTGTAATCAGTAGAAATGTTTTTTTTTGTAATTAGTAGAAATGTATGTATATTTTAATGGATCAGGTTTCAGGTTGTGCTTTAAGGATTAAGCTTAGTCTTAGACTAAACAGCAATGTAAACAATGTTTTTACCATTAAAAATCCCAATTAATGCAGACTTGGGCTTAATCAGGGCTTAAGAAAACTGGTCCTCTGTTTCTTTATTTTGCATACTACTTAAACCACCGATGCACAGCCACCTGTGTCACTGAGGTAAGTTTTCAGAAAAACTGAGACGCTACAGTGTAGACCTATTAAGTGGAAAATGAAAACTTCTGCAATGCCAGTATTTCATCAAAGCATGTGCGTGTAAAATGTGCATCAATAACGTCAAGTCTATTTTTGTTCTGCTTGTTGCGAGCAGCACGCCACCAGTGGCATGTCCAAAATACACCCCTGCCACATTTTTTGATTAAAAACGAAAGCGTCACAGAAGTGTGCAGGTTTGGTGAAGCGTGTACCACTCATCAGGTTACTCTTTCAGATTAGATTATAATCAATATTAAATATAATATAAACTGGTAAATTTCCCAAAAGTTTATATAAAATGTAAATCAGTCCAGATTAGCATTGATTTGCAGTCTCTTATCTATTAACATTTCTTAACTGAATTGTATGGATCAGACCCGGTTTGCTGATATGCCATATTAAAGTGCTTAAATAGGATGTTTTAAGAAAAACTGGACAGGTTCATTACTATTAATTAGTAAACTAGCCTTTACAGTACACTTGAGACTTTGCAGAGCTTGAATATCTAGGGGTTGGAGAGTGAGAGCTTCAGTTCCTGAGCTGGGTTTGAGCACTTTCCACTGGCAAAGGGAAGGATGTATATAATCTATATAATCAAGGCTTAATCTCAATAAGAAGATGGAGGTGCATAAGCTTGTGATTACTTGATCATTATGACTCAGTGCATGTTTGCAGGCTAGGTCACTGCTCTCTGCTCACAGGTTGGTAGTATGACACTTAAGACACCGTTCAGTGTCATTTCAGCTGTATTTAATGTTGATTTGTATTTCACATGAAATTCCCAGGAGAACGTCCATTAAGCATTAAATGGCTCTGCTCACATCCATTAGGATGTAGGGCCCACAGACATGTTTAATACACACCACACGGCACCACTTGACCTCATATTGATTTGCTCCAGTGGGTTTGCTGAGTGGACACAGTCTGACACGAAGTGACAGCTTAAGTAGGCACACTCCACCAGCCCTTCATGAGCTGCTTCCACTACGCATGAACAAATGCATCAAAGTTAAAGCCAAAAACACAAAGCAAGATTGCAGTGGATGGAAATATCTTAGAATTCCTAGCACTGGCAGATGACTGTCAGTTTAACTCAAGTAAGGCAGACAGAGGCCTAGAGGATCTAAGACTTGAGAACAGCACTCTAAGCTCCTCTCGAGTGTCTTAGGCTAATTCTGTATGACAGATTTACAACTGGGTTAGACTGAGCATGTGTTTGGATTGTGAAGAGGCATATTACTTTGTGCTGCCATTCCGTGGCCTCGTCTTCCTTTTTCCTCTTGGCCTCCTCCAGCAGGGCGATTTTGGCTGTGAACTCTGCCAGTTCGGCGGCCTACAGGGCAACAAGTAGAACTCAGAAAGTGAGCTGCCACACCCAGTCTTACTTTTGGTTTACAAATTGAAGTCTAGCTGATGTTCTGTTCATCAAGAAGGAATTTTACAGAGCTTTCAACATTTCTACATAATTAAATGGTTAAGACATAAACATCGTTATTCAGAGTACTGTGAGAGTAGTTTTTCAATTCTAGAGAAACTTAAGAGTCAGAATTATTCACAGTGATGGTGATAGAAACCAGTGCAAAAAGTGTAATATCTCTAAAAAGCTTGCTCACATAAGGTTTTACACAAAATGGTTACGAATACACTGCCTGACATCTGAGACATTGTTTTACAAAAGATAAGGATTTGATATATTTCTTAAAATCCAACAGTGGCGCAGTGGTACATGCTTACTATCAAAATTATATATAAAAACTCAGATCAGGGGGGTTCAATGGTTGTTTTGGACAGTACATAAAATGGCTGTATCGTGTTGCATTGTGTATGTGTCGTATTGCAACTGCTGGTTCCCAACACCACCATTATAAAGAAATTCGAGTTGAAAAGTTTCTCTACAATGGACAATTTCAAGTCAACCCGTTCTGAATGACTTTACATCTCAACAACTAAACTGCGTAGAAACTTTGAAAAATTGGTGGACTTTCATTTAAAGAAAGCATAAATAGTGCTGTGTAACCAGATTTACTGCAGTACAGTATGTGAAACTGTAAATAATCATTACACACAGGGTTTTTAAATGTGGCACTAATAGTCCCTAGAGTCCGTGGCCAAAAAAAAATATATATATATATACAATATATACATGTGGTGTATTGTGGAAATGTCTTTACATATCGTGATATGATACTTTGACGTATCGGCCACACCTACGTAGAAGTACTGGCGAGCATGCACATGCAAGGTGTACATACCAGTTGCTCTTGGTTCTTCATCTGGTCGGCTGCCTGTTTGGCCAGTGTGGCTTTGGCCTCCTCGGCAGTCTGTTTCTCTTTCTCCAGCCGTTCTGCCTCCTCCTTTGCCCTCTTCCTCTCTTGATCCAACTCCAGAGCCCGGCGTGTCTGCTCCTCCAGTTCTGCGCGCACACACACACACACACACACACACACACACACACACACACACGCACAGTGAGAGACACACATTCTAAAGCACTCAGCCTAAACTCACTAAACCATATGAATATAATGCAGTTTCTTTAATTCCAGTCATCCAATCTCAACCAGTTGGGCCACTATCAAAATCAGAACGCACAACCGGATATATTCCAAGATCAACGGCACAGGTACTTGCACACTTGAGGAGAGTAGGCTAACCATGCCAAACAACACTGACCGGCCAAGAGAAGTCAGCTCAAAATGCCCTCCACTGGTCACTTTGATTTATGGATCAACCACAGCAGAGATTTACAAAGGAGAACGGATATGGATTCACAGCATGCTACTGGAGCACATGGGACTGCATACAGAGGGGACCATTATACAACATGAATACGGGAAATGCCCCTGGTCTTTAAAAATAAATAAATAAATAAATAAATACATTTACAAAAGGGGAGGGGAGGGCTTTAAAGAGGTGTTTCTAAGTCTCTGAGTTTACCTTCCTCAGAAGCCAGCCCTATGAGAAGTGAGAAATTTCAGTTTAGTCAACTCAAAAGTGTACGTGCGCCTCAAAAGTGTGTGTGTGAGATTTTGAGCGTACAGGGGGTGTACAAAAAGACAGAAATGAAGTTCTCACACTCACTTGCCATTTTATCAAAAAACACTTTTACCACATAATATTAACATGGTAGTGTGTGTGGCGCTGGTAAGAGTATCATGTATAATGCCACTGCTGTGCTGAGAGTGGTCCTTCAACCAAAACCACCCAGCCAACAGCTCCTAAGGTCAGAAGAAACTGTGCAGCAGATGAGTTACCGTCTCTAACTTTATATCTACAAGGTGTGTCAAACGGAGTGGACAGTAAGTGTGAACAGCGTTTAACCATTTAAGCTTGTGTTGCTTAATGTGTCGCCACTGACGTTAAAGATGTTTTTAATCTTGAAATAACTTCACAGCTGTTTGAAATATCAACAAACAAAACAAATTCCATCATAAACTAGAGAAACTGAGCTTTTGATTGATACACCATATGTGGGGTCCCAGTGAAATCCCTGGACAGGTCTATGCTAGATTCACCAAGTCATCTGTACTTGCCCGCCCATTAGGTCAATGAATACAGACTGATGTTCAGTAACCATTATTTCTAAAAAAATGTTGTTATTGTCTCTGCCATCAAAGGACTGAACATAGCATAATGACATAGTAACATAGCATAAACCAGAAATGCCACAGTAGAGACTTTTTATCAGTTGTTAAAGTGGATTATTCATTCAAACTGTTTTGCTCTGTATGTTTCTATATTTTTTAATGTATTGTCATATTATTTTGGTCAAACACTGAAAATGTTTGTGAATAACAGATTACTGAAAAGCAGTGTTAAATTAGAAATATATAAAAACGTGATAAGTGTATTACATCACTAGTTACAGTCAAAAATGTGAAGTTATAACCAGTTTTAGGATTCGGTTCTCTAGGGTTAAAAACTCTGACCACTGTCAATACCACACACACACTTCAGTACTGCTGGGCAAAGAATGGTTCACCACTCAATATCTGGCCTGTGGTGGTCCTATAGTGGTCCCTTCCCACTGAGAAATGAGGTAAAGTGTGGCTGATAAATTATGTAGCAACAGATGAGTTACAGTCAGTGACGGCAAACCTAAAAAGTACATCTACATGGTAGATGTTTCTGATAAAATGGCCAATGAGTATGAGTATTTCATGTGGTGTTTTACAATTTTCTATTGTATATAGACCTGCATCCATACACTGAACTCCAACAGTACATAAATGAATCACGCTAGCCTTTAAGCATTAGAAGGTTTGTGAATTGTGACTGTAAACACTGATTTCTTAACGCCGTGTGACCCTCATACAGAAATGCAAACATAAAATGAATCAGAATGGTCAGAAACAGAAACCTATTCAATAAATGGCACTCAATAATATTTGGTTTTAAAAAAATGACGTGTAAGAATGAGAACACCTCAACTCATTCATTAGGCTTTTGTACCTTTCTGTGCCTTTATCGTTTGCTCTTCAATCTGTCTCAGGCGCTCAATCAGCTCATCCTTCTCACGTTCTATTCTTTCCTTCTCTTTTTCTGCGTGCTCTCGCTTCTTCTTCTCATTTTCGAGTTGAGCCCTTCAAGAAAGAAGAAAAAAAGGACATGTGGTTAGATGTGATGTGTTAGAGGAAAAAGACACACAAAAATTAAAAAAAAGCTTTCATTTGGATTTCTAGAGAATTTCCACATTTTAGGGGAACCATTTAGGCACAATGAAGAAGACAAATACTGCCCTCTAAGGTTCAGCAAAAAAACATGCAACAACACAGTGCTGCTATACAATATCACAGTTATGCTTGTCTGTGTCTCTTCTCGATATTTTAAATATAATCACTGATCAATTAAATGAATCAATTAAACATTTTTTGAACGTTTGAGTAATAAGCATTAAAAATATGCTGTAACATACCATGAAAGAATTAAGTCATGTCTTTCCTTAGAGCTTCAACCATCCGCTGAAGCCAGCAATGAGTGGTGTCAAAGTTACTGCATTAATAATGCATTAACGTGATAAATTTGAGCAAAAAATGACTATTGTGATTAATTGCGATTAACTACACAAAATAATGTGATTCGATTACGTACACAATTAACACGATTAAGTAAACAAAATAAAGCGATTAATCAAGCAACTATTTCAACTGTTTGACACTCCTAACAGGAACATAACTAAACATAACCAGGCGACCATGTGACCCCTAACCATACATTAGTAAAAACGACAAGCTCATTCTTGGCTTTGTGAAGAACACCAGAGGTTACAGTGGAGGTATTTAGAATGCGTTAGGGATTTTTAAAAAACTTTAGTTAAAACTGTATAGAAGAACCTTTTTCATTTATATGACCACCCTTCTAGTACTGCAATGTTGCTAGCCTGCTACTATCCTCCCAACCAAATAAATGATAAATCCTGATTGTTTACCATGTTAATTCAAACATTCGGACCATGACTCCTGCGTGTTAGATAAATTCCGGGTGCTGTAGGGCTGTACATACCTCTCCATCTGTTTCTGGTGCTTCTCCTCTCTGGCCTGCGCCTTCATCTGCTGCACCTCAATGGTGTCCGGCTTTCTCCTCCTCATATACAGCTCATGGTTGCCCATGCAAAGAGCCAGAATCCGTTTGTTGATCCGCAACCGCGGTGCGTAGAACACAAAATCCTGCAATTTTACAAAAGGTAACCAACTGAACCAAAAGTGTCACCATATTGCTGGCGTTGCAGTTTGCACAACAATAATCTCAAAATATTTGACATATTTGCCGTTACAGAGGATATGAGAATTATATATTAGTGATTAAAGGTTTGAATCTCTTGCCACATTAAAAATGTTATTTTATGTTCAACAGTAACTTAAACAATATGGATTTAATATTAGAAATTATTCAAAGGGATTTTTAAATGTTTTATTCAATATTTCTACAAACAAAAAGTGAATTAAATGATAAATCCTGTAATTATCCACTCTAATTAATATACACCTTCTCCAGTCATTTTACAATCATGGCTCTGTTCATCCTTCTGGACACATCTAAAATTTTATAATTTCTATTTACAGCTTCCTGGTGTCCTAATTATGAGATGTGAAGCTGAACAAGATTAGTGTATAAGAATAACTGTACACAGACTGCATACACTCTGCTAGTTAGGACTCCCCCAGTCACACGATGCTATCAATGCTAGGAGAGTGAAGGCTAACACAGGCTTCCTCCCAGACCTGTGAAACCAGCCGTCGCTTCTTTTCGAGCTGCCGCTCACGCAACGTCATTGGACAGCTGAACGCGCTCGGAGGAAAGCGCCAACCGCCAGATCTGTTACGTCAGCTAACAGACGCCTGCGCTGACTAGCATCACGTTGAGTGATGGGGGGAGAAGGGGGGCCATCCTACCCACCCAGAGAGAGCGAGGTCAATTGTGCTCTCTTGAACTCCCAGCTACAAATGGCTGTAGCATCACCAGGGATCAAACTTACTGGTGCTTTCTTATCAATGGGCTTGATGACAAATTTCTTGTCGTTGAATGAAATATTTCGGATCTCGCTCCACGGGAAGCCAATCTTCGGTGTGAGTCTGTGAAGAAACCAAAACGAGAGAGTCAAAATTAGCAAAGGTAATAACATTGGACAGAGAGCAAATAAACAAAGCTTGCGCTTTGCAGGTAAACAATCATATGAAACGTAGGCTGTGAAATATCAGATTGATGGCAATTATTCTATTATTCTAATTATTATTTCTAGCAATTATTTAAGCTTCAATGATTTTTTTTCCCCTTTCCTTTTTTTAATTTCTAGAGAACTTCAGGGGAAAGCATGTGAAAGCAGTTTTGCTTTCAAATCCTTTCAGTTTGATTTCTAGAGAACTTCACAAAGTGAGCGGCTCATTTGTGGCACAATGAAGAAGTCAAATACTGCCCTCTACTGTCATTATTTGTAACAATACTCTGGCATGTGAACCAGCATCACCAATCAAACAAACATATACATCATTTATAAATAAATCAAGCATACCAGAAAAATAAAATTCTTGTATACAGTCATTTTACAAACATCAATTACAAAAATTAAATAAATAAATATAAAGGAGTAATTTGTAAATCCATTTTGTCCTGTATTTAAACAAAAAGAGTACAAAGACAAGACAAGAAGTTGGGACAGGGCAATTTAACACTAGGAAACAGGGGGAAATGTTCACAAAACAGGTAGTGCAATCATGCTTGGTTATCAAAAGAACATTCATAAAGGACTTGGCCTTTTCTGAGCAAGAATGGGTCGAGGCTCATCTCTTTCACAAAAAATGCATCGGCAAATAATTCAGCGGTTTAAGAGCAATGATCAACAAGTGACTGCAAGGATTTAAGGTAGTTAACAATCCATGCTGCATATTATCATCAAAAGATTCAGGTAATCTGGAGAAATTAAAAGGCAAAGCTGAAAACCAGAATGCCTGTGATCTTCAAACCCTCAGACAGCACTGCATTAAAAACCAGCATGCTTCTGAAATGGATATCACCACATGGGCTCAGGAATACACACAAATACAAACCGTTGTCAAAACACTGTTTGCTGCTGCATCCATAAATGCAATTTAAGACTACAGACATGAGAAGCCACAATTTCCATAAACGCTCCCGCTTCTCAAGCTCATTGGAAATGGAGAGATGCACAGAGGAATAATGGTCTGGCTAGTCAAGACTTCAAATAATGGAAATAATGGACATCAGTTCAAAGGCCAGGGTCTGTCCTGGTATGGGGGTTTATTAGTGCCCATGGCATTGGTAACCTGCACATCTGTGCAGGCACCCTTAATGCTGAAACGTATGTACACATTTTGGAAAAACATATGATGCCTTCTAGACCACATTATTTCAGGGATGTTCATCAGGTAAAACATCAAATATCCTGTTTTTGTACTGTTTACAATTTAATGTCCACTGCTTTCTGTTTTCATCAGCATTTTACATACTGACCCAACTTTTTGGAATTGAGTTTTGTATTTATTTTGTGATTCTCAAATTTCCACTGGTCTTTATTTGAGAAAGGGTATCATTTACTTTATAAAAACCATAAAGTAACTGGCTGACTGCTGATCGATCGTGTTCAGAGATTCCACATTCACCGCTATGGCCACTCTTACTGCCATGTCCTGAGACGCAGACAGCATTGAAGTGAATGAAAATCAGGCAGGCTCCTCATAGAACGATATCCAGTCAGTTTTAGTCTGTGATCAGCTACTAATCTGATCCAGAACTTACTGTAAGGGGTGAGCAATTTCCAACATCTTTCAGTCACTTTTAAATAAATCTCAAGGCACACAGGTCCAAGTCTTACATGATTCATGATGGTGAATACCGAAGGCTTCGACTCACAAAGCCGTTAAGATGCACAGACAATATTTCAGGCTTATTACATTCATAGTAAGTCATGTTAATATCATATTACATCTGTGCATGCATTCATGTTAAAAAGGTCCAGTGGTGTTCTGCTTGGAGTGCTGAGGTCATTTTTCAGGAAATGGGATGTGACCCCACAACCACATGCTGTCCTGTATACTCAGACGCTTCCTGTAAGTCAGGGTCATGTACGAGTTCTCCTCTATACAGGAGGCTTGGGGCCAACACATACACACGCACACGTTCCTGACTGACGTATCCGCTTCCAGCCTCTCCCTCTTAAAGCCAAAAATAACACGGTGCCCTTCATTAACTTGCATCCCAACTCCTATCTCTCTCCAAACTCCTTCCTGGAAGAGGGTCCCATACTAACTGATTTCTTGACGCCATACAGCACAAGATGACAGCCTGACGTTCTGCCAAAGATCACAATATTGTCTAATAGAGTGAAAAACTGGACCATTACATATATAATGGAATCAAGGAACTTGCAGGTACATTACCAGGGATGAGCATTTAACATTTAACCATGCTATTTTTGCTATTTGAACACCTGCATTTTAAATGAATAACATTTCAAATACCCCAAAATAAAACATTTTATATTGTTCTGAATTAGGTTGGGTTCTGAAATGTAATACTTTTACAGTGCTGACAGTATTACTACCAAGTATTGAAAAATCCTGTACCAGATTTTAATAGCTAAGTATTTAGCCTGTGATCCAACAAGCATGCCTGGCCCAAAATTTAGACTGCTGATTGGTCATCTAAATTTCATTCCATATGCATGCTATTTAAATTACAGTGCTTCTTGATCAGTCTGTAGTCCAGTGTGGTCGGTAAAAATACCCACAAAATACCTCATTCATCACATGATACTACCAAGCTGGGAAGGTGAAGACTAGCATGTGCTTCCTCCAAGCCAGCCACCAGATCTTTTCAAACTGGTACTAAAACATCACTGGACAGCGCAACACACTTAGAGGACAATGCAAACAGTAAACTCTGTTATATCAGTTAACTGAGCAGGCTTGCAATCTCCCAAAAAAAGGGCCATCACATGGTTGTGGCAATCAGGAGCCCCTCCAGTTTGTAATTTAAGAGAAGGTATTGAAAAACGTACAATACCCAGCCTTGGCTAACAACAAAAACATGCAAGGTTTCACATTCATTTATTGTGTGCAGCTATAAGAGATCCTGTACTGTTAAGTCAATGTCTAAGTCTACGTTTGAGGGGTATGTGATCTAACAAGTAACCTACAGAACACACAGTCTGCACGACTTCCGCAGTACAAACTTATACAGTTCAGCATAGATGCTGCCATTGTGCTCACTCTGACACGAGACATCAGCTGCTCATATTACACATACTCTCTGGTTCTGCAACCCACACTCAGTCAAAAAACTAACAACATAATAACCGAGCAATTACAGTACTTTAAAATACATATGCCTTATTAAAATAACTGAACATGTGAAGCACTACTAAGAGTTCATAATCTCACATCAATAAAATCGAAAAGCCACATTTTAAACACCTGCTGACTGAAGTCTTGAGTATTGAATTTCCATCCATATAGCTCTTGCGTCTCATTGACTTTTCCTGCACTTCTGTTTTCAACCAGTAGAGGACGTCAACAGCACCGCGCAAAACTGCTAAACACACCTTAATCATGACCTCAAAAACTACTGAGAACAGCACAATCGAAACTTTGAAGGTTAAAAAGCACACTCTTATTTTATAGTCTAATTAAGTCAGGTGTGAGACATTGGAAACATTGTAAAATTACACATATAAAAGTAATACATATACCATCTAATAGCATTTTGAGCAATCTATACATTTTTTTAGCAAAATATAACATTGAAGGATGGGACAGCATTTTCAGTATCACTGCGATATTGTTAAAATATACTGAAAATGTTTTTGTTGAACCTCTCATACTGCAAGATAACAACAAAAAAAACAATCATTACAATTTGAACAAATATGAAATTATTCTCATTAATTATAACTATGAAAACATGCTTTGTTCTGGTGTGTGATTTGCAAGCAGACTGTGACAGCTGGCTATTTACTTTAAACATTTTTACTCCAACCATTGTATTTTATTTTCCCCTCTGATGTCTATTTATAATGTTTGTGTAGTTTAATCTCCCAAAAACAGTCACAATTTATTTTTACACAATCATTTTCCCATTTCTCTTTATCTCATAAAATTAAACAGCTTGTTTTTGTTATTGTGCTTTTACGACTCATATGTAAATAAGCTCTGTTCTGACTGTCCTGTGTCGTGCCTTTTTAGAAAAGGTAATCCGGGTTGAACGTGAATGGGTCGAGTTCTGCAGGCTGAATAGACGGATGTATGTAAATGAGTTGGTTCACGTCACAGTAAAAATTAATTTCAAAACACTTTTTTACATTGTAGTTTCCAAATATGTTTGGATGGACTACGAGAGAACTGTACGTTTTTAAACATTTTCCACTGCCCTTTAAAAACTGCAATAGTAAGGTCATCAACAGCACATTAACTAGTAAGTGTGTGGAGACTGAAAGCAGGGGCAAACATAATGGAAATGCCAATTAATCAGAGGCAGGCACGATATGTCCGTTTAGTGTCTTATATTACTGTTGTGTTTTGTCCTCTGATAAGACAAAGGTACATTTTAGTTTCTTCATCAGTCCATTGGTACCCATTGCATTCTGTCATGTTTTGTAGCCAAAGTTGGATACAAATGGAAGCATCAGTCATATGATTTATTCTATTCACATTCACATCATTTATAAAGTAAACAGTTTTCTAGTGTGATTAACTGCATTTCTACTCATGGAAAAAAAAGATCCCCCTTGATTTTCCATATTTACCATTTCCATCAAGATGGAAAACTAACAACATTACATCCTTTAACACTGGTAACCATCCCACCCCTACCTACTGTGATTTATTAGCTAAATGAACCCTTAGTAACTGACTAAATTACTGGAGAACTCCTTCATTCTAATTCATTCAGACTATTTTACTCATCTCTCATCTTATACTCAATTTAAACTCAATTTATCACGGAAGACTCACTTGTCTTCATGTTCGTAAATGTTGAGCCCTAGAGCGTCCACTCCCAGCCACAGTTCTGTCCCCTTCTTATTCTTGATCTCAAAGTAGTTCACTCCATACATCTCCAGATCCTGAGCAATCTTCAGATATTCCATCATCGAGTCCTCTCTGGAAACACACGCCAACAACAGACAAGATTAGACAACCAAATAACATGCTGCCATACACTGTGAACACAGAAACTGCTATTAGCTATTGTATGTGCTTGTGTGATGGCTGAAAGCAGCAATTACCTGAGCATGCCTCTATGCTCCTCATGCCAGGTCTGTATTCTCTCCTCCCACTGTTCTTTAGTCAGTTTGTGTTGCTCTAGAACTCTGAACACAACAACTGATGTTAAAACAGCATTCAGAACAAACTGCACACCAACAGAACCAGATTAATAAGTGTAATTATTTTAAAACGTAATAGGAAATCTAATTTTAAACATTGTTTTAAGGCTGTATAGTCCCTTCTCTGTCTTCCAGGTGTCTCTCATTTATCATGGAAGCCACAGTCAATGATTAACACTAGCATCTGGTCACATCCAATCAGAGTAAAGTGGGTGGGAAGCGGGGACGGGTTTATGTTATGCACATACCCACACAAACATCTGGACTTTAGTACAAATTAATCACAAATAGGGGCTGTGATTTCTGGGATATACTTTGTTAGAGGGTGGTGTGCCAGACATAGCATTTAAATTAAAAAAAAAAAAAAAATCTGTTACTAAACTTTTATTATCTTAACCAAACCAATCTGTGTAGGACTGAATCAGAACTTTGCACAATTATTTACATTTTTAGCATACAAAATATCAAAAACCAAACCGTATCGTGACCTTGGAATTGCAAATTGTGTTAAACCTGAAAAGTCCTATGCAAAGAGTTTGTGCACCCCAGTGCACCACTGACATGCTTTGTTGATTGTCTAGGTGAAAATAAGTTAACACATCTTCTACAGAGAACACACTTTTACACATTTTAAAGATTTAATTTAACACGTTGAACAAAAATGTACAAAAGTGGCCTTTTTCCAGTAGCAATCTCCACAAATATATAGAAAATGCGCACTAAGAATGTCATACTTATTGATGAGCTTATTCTCACGTAGAAAATCCAAGCATGTATGCTGTGTGCACAATACAAGCATAAATCACATTAACATATGAAGGCAAGGCACTTATTCAGACAGTCCTTATTTTAGCCGTACTGAAAAATGTATCGAATCAGGACACAGCCATATAGTATTACAATGAAATGAAATGCGTGCATAGTTAATGCCCTACTAATTAATGAAAATGAGACTTCCCAGATGGATTCACAGACTACAAGATCTAAGAATCTATTCCTCTGCATTCATTTAGCATCATTTGAGCTCAGGCTACATCATTCAAGTTTGACAATTTTAGCAATACAAAAATAAAAGCTTTTTTGTGGTTTGGGGAGCCATATAAACTGAAGAAAAATCTGACAGGACTTCATATTCTGGGTTTATAACTGGCCAAGTTTTCCTTCAACAAATGCTTGGTCCATACCTCAAGCCAAATCACCACACAAGGTAATTTAGTGAGCAACTATCAAATGCTTGCCAAGGCCCAGAGACGTTTAATTATAGCTCATGACACATGGGGTTGTGTTTTGACACTGCCTAGTGGGGCATGAGTTTGAAACCTGGATTCGAGACAGCTGATGTCTGAGGTCTCTTTGAAGTCCACATCACACTAAAGATGTGGTCATAAACTCACTATTGTGCTCTTTTTACTGCAATTTGCTGTGGATTAAATCAAATTCAAAGGAAAAACAGGATGATGTTAACTAAAGTTCAATATGCAGCACTGCCTACTACTAATCATTAGTCATTCATAATGGACAAAATGGACCAAAGTACAGACAAAATGCAAGTTCAAAGATAGCTGCTAGTACAGTTTCATGTGATGTGTTCTATAAAAATGAACAACAGGATGTAAAACAGCAGCAGCCACACGTGTCCAGATATTTTTAAAACAAAATGAAAAAACAACTAGAAAACCATTATATCAGTATGTTAGCCCAGTAGATGTTATGTTAATAACACCTTAGAAAATCTACTGTCAAAAGCCTCAACAACACTGTAAGCATGCGCAAAACACAGAGCACAGATTTTCTACCAAAGTGACAGCAGCATGTTACAAACACAATAGGCCTGCTTAACTCACACAGGCCAGCAGATCTCTGTAAATTCAAAATTCAGTGTACGCCAGAAAATAAAAGCTTAAAAAAGCAAAACTAAAGCAAAACTAAAGACTTTGGTTAATAATGATCAAGGCTCATACCTTTGGAATCATCTGTATAAAAAAAAATAAAATAAAAAGCACAGCAGATTCTGACGACTCAATGGTGTATTGAAAAAGCAAAGCTAAATTCAGTCAATTGCTATGCACACAGAAACAGACGTATTTCAGGCAGAGCTCTGAATACTGAATAAATGACACCAGGAACAAGTTATGTCCAAGTTAACGTTGTGATGTCAGCATCTTCAATAAGATATGCTTTGCCCATGCACAAAAAAATCACTACGTTTTCAAAAAAATCTGGTTTTTTTTTCCCCCAGAGATGCAGATCATCATTTTAATGTGAGGCCAAAGTGCCTTTGCGTGGAAAGGGTCTGAATTTTGTTGGTGCTTTGGTCCATTTTTGCAGATAACAGTGTCATACAGTGTCAGAAACCACAAACAAGTCTATCTGAGATTACTTAATAACACAGTTTGTGGCAAATGTGTAATTTTAGGAATGCAGTTTGCAGTGCTAACTGTTTAAGTCATAAGCTGTTACTTGTTAGCTACATTAGTCTCACGGCTTTAGTGAAAAATGAAAGAAGAAAACTTCAGATGCCACACATCTCGGTTCATCAACTAAATTTGGGATTTGGGAAAACTGTAAATTTCACTTTTTGCGATCCATTTAACTTTCACTGTCAATGAAGGAAGAGGCCATGTATGCATAAACATTCAGAATGATCGTTCAGTAAGGAACTAAGGAATTCAGAGAAGTCATAGAAATCACCTCTGTGGCAGCAGCCTTTCATTGGCAAGATAGCCAGGCTTGTGGATGTCTTTGTTGTAGTCTGCGTATTTGGCCTGAACTGCGTACGACGCCAGAAGCACTGCTGTCTCTGGAGGGCAGTAATTTTCATCATTCAAAATGGCCTCCTTCACCTAGAAAGAAACAGCAAACGGAGCTTTAGACTCTGCTGGGTATACCGTTCAATACCATTTTAATACTAATTCAAAACTATTTAATGTACCAACAGAATTATGTCAATACAACTGAGTATCAAACACTCCATATCATTCAATACCCAATTTTAAAACCTATGTAGTTGGGCTCATCAGCATCAGTGAGCCAATAAGCATGCTTTTACAAAAATCCAGACTGCTGATTGGCTGTTTAATTAACATTTCATATACACCAAATCGAAGTCAGAGCTTCATGATTAGTCTGCAACCCACTGCAGTCAGTAAACACTCACACTTCCAGCACCTCACACTCGTTTCTGGTCTCAAAGTTTCAATGTCAAGGCACTGAAACGATACCCAGTCCTACCTGAGAAACAAACACTGCACTGACTAGTGCACTGCATAAAAAGCAGAAGTTAGCATTCGACCCTAAGGGCAGTGTACGGTGTGATACGTATCAAACTACAAAGTAAGAGTGTTAATTGAGTGCTAATCATAGATTAGCTTTGAAAACCTCAAGTCAGGATTAGGCTTTGAGGTTTAATACAAAGTCTCTTGCTCAGCTGTGCGAGACTACCCTACGAATGCTGAACAGCTCCTAGACCAGTGTTTCCAATCGAAGCCCTTACCATCCCACTCCATTTGTGGGCATGTTAATTAGTTAATGAATTTAATCAGATGTGATAGATCAGTGGTTCCCAACTCGGTCCTCAGGGCCTGCTGGACGGTGTACATTTTTGCTCCAGCCCAATTTGCAACACACAGGGAAGAAGGAAAAATGTGGACCTTGAGAACTAGGTTATAACCACTCTGCTGTGGGAAAGGAGAGGGAAAAAAGTGCAGAGATATTGTTTTTAATATGCTATTGTTGACTTGGCCTCATTTCCTGCTGGTTCCACTACTGTATTAGCTGTAAAGTGAAGTTTTTCTTAATGACCTGTTGGAGCAGCGAGGACTCAGGTGAACCTAAGGTAGACTTATGAAGAGTAACTTGCCCAGAAATCACTGATTTTAATCAAAATCAAAAACTACAGCATTCCATTTGCTAATCTGGGCTTCATCTCGTAAACTACCACTAGGCATATACATGACTGCCACTGTAACTCTGCTAGCTGGCTAGTTAGCAAGCTAAAGACTACACATCTAGTAACAACAAAGAAAAGAAACGCACCACAGTTCCCATTCTAAACATGCATTACAAAGTTAGCTTTGCTAGCTAGTTAGCATAACGGGTGCTACTATGAAGTAACATACCGCATACTGTGAGGCAATATGAAGTAACTTCCAAAGATGATAAATATTGTCATATTGTCTGCACACACTGTGAAAAACTATATTTTGGCAGTAAAACTACATGAAATCTGGTGAATATATCCAACATTTCTTAGTTTGACATGGCTGAAGGAATATTATAAGATGATTTGACTTATTCAAGATGATTTCACTTGCTAAGATATCATTTTTTAGAGTGCACTTCTGAGTTGCAGGGTGAAGTCGGCAAGGGCATGAAACACAGGACAGGACTGTGAAAACTGCTCTAGACCAACTCTTTATAGTTTTAATGATGGGCAAGTCTATCATCTTGCACTGAAACTGATCCAAGATCAGTATTTAAACTACAAAACAAAACTAAAAATTTCGGTTTTGAAAGAAAATTAAAACAAACGTTGAAACATTACCTGCAGGAAGAAGAGGCGCTGTGTAATCTCCTGGATCAGCTCTTCAGACACGTCCTCTGGGAAGAACTTTGCTCTGAACTTGAATTGTAGAGGGTTCTCCTTTTTCACATCCTGCTGTGTCACCTAAAAACAACAACAAAAAAAAGTTAAATTAAGCACAGACTGTATGATGAATGTAATGAAGTTCCATGATCTTAAAAACTGTGTAACTTTAAAAAATACACAGCAGACAAGTTCAACAGTACTGTGCTTCTGAGTCAACAAGAACTGGTAATAACACATTTTCCTTTCATACTGCAACATATTTGTAAGTAAAACGCTGTGTTGACAAAGGTTTTGGAGCTATAGGAGCATGTCATTTGATGACAAATGGTGGGGCGGGAGTGAGAGGAGAAACAATATTATTAGGTAATATTTTTCTCTGTTTACTGATGCACAGTGATGTCATCAAATCTCAGATGATGTTTTGGTCGCAGGCAAAAAAAATCATTACACTCCAATGTTTACATTGGCAGAAACCATTCATTTTGTCTTTTAAATGGTATATGATATAATACAACGTGCCTAATATGACCAGGGGCATAAAATAAAGTTAAAAAGGACCATTTCAGGTTGACTCTAAGCAGTGTGGACTGAATTTGAAAGATAAGCGACCTGGGTGAGGTCTCACTTGCTCTGCCTTTCACCTTCACTTTATCTCTTACTCTCACTCTCTTTCATCTCCAACATGCTGCATTATGACCACCTCCAGCCCAGGAGCGACCTGAATACTTTCCACCAGAACCACTTGTTAAAGAAATCCTGCTGTACATCATCGTGACAGTCCCACACTGCAACACCGGCTGGGATCAATTCAGTCCCTACCATTAAAAACTTGGTTTCTTTCTCCTTTCCTTCTCCCTCTCGTACACACAGGACCACACAAGCACACAGAAAAACACATATTCTGTCTCTGCAGTAGGCACACATTACATCCAGGAGTGCTGAACTCATCTTTACTTGGGCGAAAGCCAACACACACACGCACACAGGTTTTTATACAATAAAGGATGCAGTATTATATATTAAAGGGGATTTTAACTGATTTTCACATAATTCAATGGTTAAGATGTAAACAAATTATTCAGAGTCGGTTAATGTAAAATGCTCCATTACAGACAAACTTACTCAGTCAGAATTGTTCACAGTGGTGACAGAAACCAGACGTTCAAAAAGTTTGGCACTAAAATCTACCTCACTGGAAGTTGTTACAATAAATAACTACTAATACACAGACATTATTTTAGTTTTGAGGTTCGAACCTAAATGTTTTTTTAATGTTGGAGTAATACATGCAGGGTGTTGTAAGGCAGAATAGTAACCTGAGAATTAATTAATTTTTTTTAAGATTCACACTATTGCCATTGCCATATTAACATTACAAAAAATAAATAAATAAATAAAAAAATCTCAGAAGACAAGTGTAGAATAACTGGACATTTGGGATAGTAAATAAAATGGCTATAACTGCGTTGTAGACATTGTGACTCCTGGTTTCTATCACCACCACTGTCAAGAAATCAGGGTCGATAAGCTTCTCTACAATGAACCGCTTCACATCAAAACACCCTGAATGGTTTATTTACATCTCATGGACTGAATTAAACAGAAATGTTGAAAAACGTAGAATTGTCCTTCAAGTTACAAAATCTTTATGCGTATGTGTGCATGAACTACCTGAACATGATTATTTGAAAACATAACCATAACCTTACAGGGGACTTCCACAAAATTTTAAAACTTTCTGTATAATTCAATTGTAAAAAAGGGCTAAAACCATATTGCAAAACTACCAGAGACCCAACATGTCTCAAGATATTTTAAACATCAGGCAGGGTGTTCATAACCACTTCATGTAGTAATTTTCCGTGAGGAGGCTTTTAGGGAGCAATAAATGCATAGACGTCTGGTTCCGATCACAGCCACTGTGAACATTTCTAAATGGAGCATTTCATACCAAATTACTCCGACTTTGTCATCTTATTCATTCAATTTTAACAGAAATTTTGAAAATTTGAATGTTCATAAAACAACCACCTTTGCAAAAAAACACTTTACAAAGTCAGGTCCATTATGTTGATGCTCATACTGTAGGTTAGCCCTGTTTTTCTCTGGGTTTCCTACAAAGTCAAGACACTTTTGTCCTGAAAATGTACGAAAACACACACGCAAGTGTGCACAGTTTTCCATCAGAAGGGTTCTGGTCAGACGCTTCTTTTCACTGCTTGGCACTCCAGAGCAGGAAGGCCATTAAACTGCACATCTGAGGCCTACACTAACCACAGGCTAATCGGAGCAGGGGCTCTCTGGAGCTGGCAGGAGCTGTGGAAAGGAAAAGAGAAAAAGAAAAATCTTACCTTCTTATTGAGCTTCAGCCATGTGGTGTAGCCTTTACTGTCTGTGTACTGCAGCCCAAAAAACCAAACTTCACGCAGACCCACAGTCTTCACCACCTAGAGGAAAACAAACAAACAGGAACGCCCCATGTAACGAAGTTCAAGTGCGTGTAAATCGCAGGGCAAGGGCAACAGTAGTCTGCCTTAGCGTTGTGTAAATGTGGCTAAATAAATTGCGTCAGGGTCGACGCTTCACCAATGACTGAGTAGAAAAGCATGGATTTCATCATATTCCTGCGATCTGTAGCCACTGAAAAACACTAGTACAATAGATTAAGAATACTTTTATACTTTAATACTGTTATACCACTTTATCAACCAAGTTATCAGATGAAATTAAGTGGAGTCAAGAGAACCTGGAGTTGCGCATCACAAAGTAACCTCAGTGTGAGGAAAAACCTGCCTACTCAAAAATGACTTATCAGAAATTAAATTTACTTTTTAACCGAAAGCATTGGTCAAACATATTTGTCGATTAATGGTTACTCAGTTAATTATCAACATCCCTATTACCAACAATAATACCATTACACAAACAAGACACTGCTGCAACATGTGATGCTGCTGTTCAACGAAACATCACATCCCCATTTAAAACAAGCAGCCAAGGAGAACCAGGTAGACAATGACAAATATGTGTAATTCAACCACAAGACAAGAAAAATGAATACTTCAAAACAGGTTTCTGAGTCCCAATACAGTCCCCTCAAACATCTTGCAAAGCTTCTTCGCAAAGCCAAGTTTAAATCTGCAGCGACAGCTGACCAGTCAGATATGATCTGGAATGCTTCAACACAGTGACAGCAATGTGCAATGTATGCTCCTGAGGAAAATCCAGAAAAAATACCACTGAACACTGCTGTGGCTCTGCATGAAAGACATTTCTACAACAAAAGCCCTAAACATGCTTCCAAAGTGGCTTAACAACCCAATCTTTAAAAGCATTGTAGATCATGTTAAACTCTTGACAGGATGGGAATAAAATTACAGCTCAGTTCTTCTGCAAATAAACAATCTAATGAATAAATTCACAGCTACAAGAGAGTTCAAAAACAAGTATCAGATACAGTAACCTACAAATGTAGTCAAATAATTAACTGAGCACCTCAAATGCCTGACATAACAGTGGATCTGCACAGCCACACTTTCATTTAACCAATTTATAGTAAGTGGAAGTCTTAAGAGGTTCTAAAAGGCACAGATGTGGTTAAATTTGTGAGTTTGGCTGCAGCTTTGTGCACGGCCCAGCCGGCCTCTGCGGCCCTCTTGTGAGAACACACCCAAGACGAAAGTGTGAACCAAGAGCGTGAAAATGAGGGCATCGTTGTAGCAAACAAAACCACACGCATGTTAACACAGAACACCTTGGAAGTCTAATTGTGCTGTTTAAGGACTGAGTTCAGACAATCATCTCAGTAAAGAAGTCAGGTTATTTAAACTTGCAGAGCTATTTAAACTAAGATAACTGTGCATTAACTTACTGCACTTAAGGCTTACAGCATTGCTCAAAATTTCTTGATACTGACACCAACACACAGATACCTAGATGAAACTTATTTCGAATTCATTCTTTAATGTCGCATGTGGCTTAAACTAGAAATTAGTGAGATGCTGAAATTGGACTGCAGAAAGACGTGGTGATGTTATAAACATCTAGACAGCCAGGTAGCTACTTTGCTAACTTGAGCTTTTGCCTTGTCCTCCTCATCTGACGAGTCATTTCTGTCATTGAGTAATGATTCTCTCCATTGTAGAAATGATTTGAAGACTGTTACCCCTGTTATACAGTTGCAATAATATATTGAGCGTCCTAGCAGTGATGTCAGTTATCCTTCCTGCATCCTTCTGCAACTGCCAGCTACAAAAAACCCCAAAAAGGTTGTACTTTCAAAATGTTCCTCCCACCTTCAGCACACATCAGTTTTCCCAGATTTTAAACCAGAAATTCTCACTCTAGAGGCTGTCTCTTCAATAACATGGATACAGAAATTTATTTAGACAGCTCATCACAACTCTGCTAAGTACATTTGTCTATTTTTAAAAAATAATAAACAGTAACAGAAACCATTTGACCAAGTCTACTTGAAATTACAGAGCAACTCGACAGTTTCTAGCAAGTGTGTGTCGGTGTAGGCAGTACAGTTTTTACGATGCTAAAATGATTTTCCTCAGTTCCAACTGATCAGAGGTCTGAAAAAATATTGTGACATTGTGTACTGTGAAAATTTCCCAAAGTATCAAAATTAAAAATTTTTGCCACATCGCTCACCACTAACCTAGAGCAAAGGGGAAAAGTGAGTAAATTTCTTGACAAACTTCTTGTCAAACTACTCTTAAGCCAGGCAAGCACTTTGGAATTATAGCCCATTTTTAAACCTGATTCGCTCGTAGCTGATTGAATTTCAGGACCTGTCTAAATTTTAGCTTGATTGACTGTCGTTTGCCGTGCAGCGTGAGGCGGGATCGATGCCCAATTAACTGCCTAAACGAGCACCGACTGAACAGTCAGATGACTAGATGGATTTCTGACAGGTCAGAAATTTTGGTTGCTTGTCTTGAAGTGCGAGCAGATAACACAAATCGATTTCTCAAAGTGGCACGGAGACCACATACACAATCACTGCCCTCACATGGGTGAACACACATAGGTTAACAAATTAGAGGGAAAAAATTCTGTTTGACTGAATGGAATTAACACTGGTTTTAAACGGCCTTTGTAAAACAGGTTGTAGAAAGACGGTATCGCCCTACCATGTACATCAAATCCTGTTTTTAGTTTCAGTGACAGTGTGGCGCAAGTTAGTAAAGTGTGACATCTTTATTGGAAATTATCCATAGACTGAGCTGTGTGTAGTGAAAATTCACTACAAACGCAGTGCGAGCACTCACATCGCAACATGCTAACTGGACCAAGCATTAAAGTAAAATCTGAGCATATAAATCAGACTTTGGCTTTATATGATCGACGATTCAAACGTGCAGTGAATATCTAACGGCACAGTGTTTGCCTGGCTTCGGTGAAGAAAATTCTACACAGCGTGATTTCCATTGTTTCTTTCACTATAAGGAGAAAATAAGTGTATTTGTATGTTGTGATCAGTATGACCCCTGTGAAATCAAGTCTTCTTCTTAATCTCTTAGCATGTGCCTGTTTACTATAAAGCAATTAGCAACCGTTACTGGCAGTGCACTGCACCACTTGAAATGGGCAAAAGGGCTGTGGTCTTTAAATAGAGTTTGACTGAGTGCATGCCACTCAGTGCCATCTCTACAGAGACGTGACTAATGTGGCATTACTTTTCTGCAAAGGTCCCAAGGCAAGACTGCCTACGTCCCAGCAAAATTGGGCATTGGAGCGGCAGGAAAGGCACCCTGACTCTCCTCTCCCTAACTGCAGTAGCAGATGAGGCTCAGTGGAGCAGCACTTTAAAACTGATCTAGGATTAGTTTCCCGTGTCCAATCCCTGACCTTTACTTTTAATGGCACGTAGACTGCAAGCTGCTCTCGGGTCAGTGTAAAAGGGTAACTTGAATCAACGTCCCACAGCCCTCCCTCCAGCGCTCCATGGCACCACAGCCCGGAATGCGGAATGCTGACTGGGGGCAGCCGAGGACCAGCCACCTTCTCTTAAAGGGACAGGAGCAGACAAGGAATGTGCTAGAACAACACATCAGTACATGGCAGGGGTGCAAATCTCTGACCTTGAAACTGTTTGACTCGATTAAGATTCTTTAGGAAATCGTTCAGTTCATCATGAAAGATCAAATTTCACCACAATTTGATAAGATCGTTTTGGTCGCATTCTAACTTAGGGTTATTTACATGGTCAGCGGAAGTAATGTATGTGTTTAGCATGTATGCTAGCAGAATGACTATATATGATTGTGTAAAAAATTAGTGTACCAATTCAACAGTACTACCAGTGTTATCTACCTAGTAGACAGACGGCCAATAAGCCAATGTGTTCACCAATGTGTTAATCACAATTTTTTTTTTATGACAGTTGTCAGCTAAAATCTCATGAGCGTTACGGTCGTAATCACATCCAGGATTACAAATGTGCCTGAAGAAACTACATATACAGTTCTAAAACATAAACAAGATCAATACAAATAAAAACCAAGAAGAATTCTGTTGCTAACAGGCCTACTTGCATCATACGATGGTGCCACAGTAGTCACTCTGTGAGACACAGAACAATCTCTTCTGGTTATGTCTCTTGAAGGTGTGAGGAACTACAACTGCTTTGGTTGGATTTTTGGAGGCAGGCTGTCCCGCCCATCTGGGCCAGCAACTGCACTTTGCATTGATTTACACTGCACACTTCTCTATATCGGTTTTAAACTAAAATTGCAAAGATGACAAAAAGTTGCGTGGTGGGTTGCAGGACAAGTAAGGTTAAAAACCTAATTTAAGGTTTTACACAATTCCAAGACACAAAACAAAGCCAAAAAGACATCATAGTAAGCTTAAAGCTATCAACAGACAGGAGGGCTCCCTAGCCGCAGGGACTTTATGGGATCCTGATAGTATTCACATCTATGTGTGCAGCAGACTTCTTGTGTCAGGTAGGTCAAAAAGTTAATCAATTCTCTATCTGAGTACCTTTTGTTAAAAAAAAATGTAAATGCATTAGTTTAGCTAGTTAGTTAAGCTATCTAGATTCTATCAATGTTGACTCAGGTTGATACAGAACAAGGATAATACTGATAATAGTAATATTATACAGCCTAACAGTCGGCAACAGACTTGAGCATTCTGATCACAACGTTAGCTAACGTTAGCTATGACAATAGTGACTAGCTTAGCCTACCTGGTGATTTGGTCAAGTAATGGTACGAGTTAAAATAAGTGACTCTGGCCACTCTGTGGGGTCATTTTTCCACTCTGATTGTGGGATAGAAAAGGGACACAGAGTCCAACCAGATTTAGTCTCTCTATATATCAGGCCCTTTAAATGGACGGAAGCATATTCAAATAGACTGGTGTTGACATTTTATGTTAAAGCTGTTTCAAGACATGTTGTCCCTCAATTTCCCATTCACTCCAAGTTAAACTGCGTGGAATATTTAATGTGGTTCTCCCTCTGATGGTGCGATGTGCTCCATCACTATGATGTATTTGTGTAATGCATGCTGGGTATTGTAGTAAGAGATCATTTACATATATATGCTTAGAATTTCATTTTGGCCAATTCAAGTAAGCACACACTTTATTGGAGGTTATTATAATCAATTCTAATGGGCCGTATTAAAGAAACTTACTATGTTTTTGTCTTAAGTTAAGATCTGACAGGTCAAGATTAGATTTTTTACAATCGTATTACAGAAGCAAATCTTATAATTATTAAATTTTATAAATCTTATTTTTTTTAAACGCTGTAAGAAAAAACCTTGTAAGTCAAAGCACCGTTTTCAATGTAGATAAATGTAACGTCATTATGCTACTTATAGTGAATTACGCTGCCTGTCACTGCATAAAACGGTACAAAACGAAACAGACGGTTAAGACATAAGTTAAGACAGTTCTGGGGTTGTCTTAAAGTTGGGACAGAATTGTGGAAATTTTGCCAAGTTATGATGTTTCTGTTTTCTTATCTGGATAAGATTATGATCTTAAGAACTATTGTTCTGTAATAGCTTCTGTCCCAAATTCAGTCCTAACTGAAGTGGTCATGGTAACTAAACAGATAAGGTTTCCGAGTTCAGAAGTGTCTGTAATACGGCTCCTGATCAGTGTTTCAGTAACCCTGAAGACACATCATGGTGAGTCTATCAACAGAATCTACACTCACTAAACCACTCAATTATTCCATAAGCGTTGAAGAAATGTTCTAGAATAACACCTAATGGAAACGCAACGAGGAAACCGCAATGTAGCACACCTCCTTTTGTGAACATTTTAATGGATCCTAGGAAGAGATTAAACTTCAGGAGTAGCTAAAGGCTACAGAAGAGCTCATGAGGGACCAGTGTTGTGTACAATAGAGATCCTTCAGTGAAAGTGGCCTCAAAAGTCAATAGTAATAGAGCATAATACACTGCCCCGCGGTGAAGTAAATGGATTTGTTTGAGGGAACTTATTTGGGCTAGAGGCTATGCATCGTCTGATCCTGGGTTAGTTTCCTCTGTGGAAAACCTCAACCAGCACCATCATGGAACAAAATGCAAAACTGGGCTTAGATCAGCAGAAAATTTTACACTTCAACGATCTCCATTTAACCCTTGAAAAAAAAGCACAGCCAGCAAAGCATCTCAGACTATCAAATGAATATTTTAGCCATTGGCATTAATATTGCAGAAAGTATACATGTTGGCTCTGGCTGGCAACTCAGCAGGGGGCTTAGCTATCATGACCACCAGAGAGATGTAATGTTCAGATATAGCAGCACCACTTTATCATACACGATGAGACACATCAGTTCAAGCTGAAAAATCTGGAGTCTCAACTCGATACTCGCTGCCGTTACGCATTACTGTTACCAGTCCTGAACCCACAAACTATACTGAGATGACTCTGGACGAGATTTCACTTGGTCAGTGCAAACTCAGACTGAAGAAGCACAACTGAACCAGAGAGAGCAGATGTATGCAGATAAGGCCCTTAGTGCGTATATCAGCAGAGCGGCTGCTGAGCTAAAAAACTTCGCCCCCTTGGCGTAGCATGAGGTGACATCACCATTCAATGACAAAGCAGCCCAGTCTTCTTGCAATGGCTCTGTTGCTTCCTACTACAGTAAGCCACTGTTTAAAGCCCTCACACGGAGAGAGGAGACTGCTGACATGAATTTCTTCCTACCAAGGGGAAAAAATGGCTTCTGGGAACAGAACAAAACCTGGCAATTTAAACAAAAATAAGCGTTAAACGTTTCCTGGTTGTACATTTGAATAACATTGAACTTGAAGTGATCCGTTCTATCCCAGAAGAGCCTGGCCTTCCCTTGCCACCTCAATCAGATATTCCAATAATAACTCACGTAAATAGGCTTTAAAATGATAAGATTTTTCACAGAACTGTGTAAAATCAGCTGATCTTTAAAGTTATCAGACAGACATGTTCCGCATGTATGAGGTGTTGATGTAATTAAATAATAAGCAAGCAAATGTATCAGAAACAGAAAAATGGATACAGATATGCTCCTGCAAGAACTGGGAAATAAAATGAAAATCTCTAAAATTCTGGAGACGTCCTACGTGACAACTCATAGCGTTTTATGATTTAAAATCTTTTTGTGGTTTCTCAGATTTTTTTGTGGTAAACAGTTACACAGTAGCAGAAAATGAAGCATGACATTTGATTTGCTAATATTATTATTAAAAAAATGTATGATTCATACACTTTTGAGCCTTGTTTATGGAACAGAGTCAGTAGCTATTTAGAGTTAGCATTACAGAGATATTCAGACTCATTCAAAGGGCTCATTGTGGGGGGGTCACTAGGTCATCAAACTGTACAGCAGCGGTTCCCAAGCCTGGTCCTGGGTACTGCAGCTACACTGATGTGCATAACCATTTACAAAAATGTGTACAGTTACATAGAGTTATGAGTACAGTTAACCAAAACTACCTGTTCTTCACAAAAGTGAAAATGTAAGCAAAAAGCTCACTTTGCTAGCTTGCATTCTGAAAACTCATGAACTTATGAGCTACATAACTAATAAATGAACAACCACTACTCAGCGCTGCACTCTAAACGTGTTAGAGCGCGAACTTAGAAGTATTAAGGTTTTTTATTTTCATAAAAACCACGATGTCTCAATGAACCCATTTACTGCATTCTTTTATTTACATATACATTGGCTTAAATAACTACGATCGTCTCAAATAATTGCAATTAGGCGATTATGCAATACTTGCTACAGGCCTAGTGAGAAAAATGGCATTCAGGCCAGTGGGGAACTTACCTGGTCAAACAGTTGTTTGCCAGTGGTGTTTGGCTGGATGGCAAACTCCAGCTCCGCATCCATTGTCGTCACTCGTACATTGATCTGGGAGAAAAAATAAAAAAAAAATAAAAAAAAGGAAACAGCCTTTTTAGGAGACAGTTTTAAATGTGAGAGTTTGCTCTTAAACTTATGTTTTTTTTCACATTGAAATTCACATTGTGCACATGTAGGTCAGGATATCTAGAAATTCGGCATCATTTCAAAACCAGTTTGCACATGTTTGACACTTTACCAGCCAAAAACTCCACAACAAAGGGACGTACGCACCTAAACTGCTCATTAGCCTACTGGACATCTACCACTGCAAAGTTCTGAATTCAGGCTACTGATTAGTGTTGCTTTCCACATGCCGTTCTTGATGCTTCAAATGACTTTGTCCTTCGTTTCAAAAAATAATTCTCAAATTCTGGGTGGTTAATCATAGCAAATCTTGGTTAGAGATCAGAAGCGCCTGTTCATCTTTTCAACCAAGTGACAATGTTGCCAATTCCACTGATCTGCAGATTCAGACCTGTATCCCTTACCTCTGCATTCTTCAGTAAGGCTTTCATCTGGTAATTAAGTAGCTTCTGAGTTTCATCTAACAAGCATACATTTTGGGTTAAAATAATGCAGACCAGTCCTTAACCATGTCATATTAAAAGGTCACAATTGTGTTAAAAAAATAAATAAATAAAAATACAAAGCATACTGCCATACTGCAACTGCAAAATAATCAATGTTTTTCTGCTCCCTATTATGTAGCCCTACTGTGTAGCAATTAAACCTTACAAGTTGTAGTTTGTAGTGGACGGTATACTGGTTCGTTCAGAATATCGTTCAAAGTTCTTCCTCCATATACAAATCGTGCAAATCATGCTAATGTTAGTCACTTCAGCCACTGGGTGGCTGAGCTAGAGATGTGTGATTCACATTTCAAATAAAATGAGAAGATGAAAAAAAAATAAAGTGAAAAACCTCTCTCGATCACCTCCTGCTGTCTAATCTGTTGCATATGAAACAGTCCACTACAGTTTTGAGGCAGCTGACATGAAGGAACAGCTGGCCTTTTGGGGTTAGCTTTTGCCTAACGTGGACACGTGAACGTGGAGGAGCTGCCTGACTGTCAGATGCATCAGACGGTGTTACAGTCAATCAGTCATGTCCACATAAGCCGTGGACCAGCTGGTACTGAAGCGTACCAAGAGTAATATTTTATAAATTCCAGCAGGTTCTGATGATCGAAGGCATGAGCGTATAGGACGTGCAAACGAGACAAATGAGAAATGTGGTGAAGCTGAAGTCGGCTTCTTATTTGAATTTCCTGGCCCACCCTAAATGCTGCAGCAGTTACATTTAAGTGCCTATAAAGGTGACAGAATGTAACTGTGGCTCCAGTTTTAAATTTGAACAAAAAATTGCAAAATAAGAAGCAGACTTTGTCAAAATTCAGACGTGACTCAAAATTTACCTCCAAGCCAGCAAGGTGAGTGTTAGAAAGCAGTAATGACAAGTTTATCAATACATATTTTTCTATTTTGCACAATAAAAATGTCAGTTACTTTGGTTGTTAAAAATGGTTCTTATTAAAACTGAAAAAACATCCCAAAATAATGAACCACAGTGAAGCTATAAAAATAGGTTTGCTTAAGCATCTAAAATGGTTTTATTTAAAACATTCTGTTAAAAATGCAGATAGTTACCTCATTTGCATTTGAAAGAAGAAGATGTTATGTTTGAATTTGAAGTTACAGCAAACAATCTTTTTTTGGGGGGAAAAACCTTCCTTTATGCCACATTTTTGTAATTTTTTGATAGAAACAAAGGGGGAAAAAGACAGAAGCACAGACTCAAACTCTTTCATACAGAATAAAAATTGAACTTAAGTGCGCGTAATAAGTACTGAAATATGCACTTCATAACGCAATTACATTTAAATTGTGCAGCCAAATCGCAATAATAACTGGTCTTCTGAGGGTTAAAAAGGCCTGGACAATGACAAGGCCAGCTGCTCGATTCACGTGTAAAATGTCAGACTCAACTGGGTCACTCATTCTCTGGCAGCACAGTGGGTGAGTGGCTACGTGTGCCATCAGCTGAGATCAACACTGAGGCATCCAGCTTGCTTTTCCATTTGTTCAGGGGGAAAACCTAGTGTGTGTCGGTGAACGCATCACACATATGTTTGTGTCTGCAGGCAAGAGTGCAAGAAAAAGATTGTTAAAGGTCACCATGGGGTTGGAGGGGCTACAGGTGTTGAACATGTCCAATATGTAAGTGCTCATTCACTGACCGTAAGAAAAAACAAGTGACCGAGAACGTCTATGCAGTTTTGAACAGCTATGAGAGGTCGGACCGACAGCAACATCCACCTCCATCATCGAAATACCAACTGAGCGAAAACTGTTTAGAACAACGGCTGCCAAAATTTGTAGTAACAGTTTTACAAGGGGGGGCGAGTTACAACTACCTACTATAAAATGACAATGCTAATAACACACTGCATTCACTCAAGACAGTGGTCTCCAATCCTGGTCCTGGAGATCTGCCTTCCCGCAGAGCCTAGTTACTACCACAATGTGCCACACCTGCTCCAGCTAATCAACCTCTTCCCTATTCCCTGACCGGCTGGATCAAATGTATTAGAGTTAAGTAAGGGGTGGGGCAGATTACTGGATACAGGTTGGAACTAAGCTCTGCAGGAAGGGTGCTCTCCAGGAACAAGGTTGGAGACCACTGACCTAAGACAAGTAGGTAGATGATTAGGATAAACCAGGGGTGTCCGGGTGGGCCGGTATGGCTGCAGGTTTTCATTTCAACAAAGTAGAGGCACGCACGGTCAGCTGCTGAAGACTGAGACCAAGTGATTAAACAGGGGACGCAGGGGCACACCTGATTGCACTCGTTTAACACACATATACATATATTTATTTATTTTTATACACATACATACATACATACATACATACATATATACACACATATATATACATACACACACACACACACACACACACACACATATATATATATATACACATATATATATATATATATATATATATACATATATATATATATATATATATATATGCACACACACACACAAGCAATTTTAGGTAGGGTCCTTCACATTATATGAAGTTCAAGACCCCCTTTGTGGATACTAAGTGCCACAGCACCACAACCCTTCATCCTTGCCCCCGCCCCCCCGTGCCCCCCCTCGCGTTCTTACTTTCACTTCACAATCAAGGATCATGTCTTATCGGTATCTTGTCCATGTTGCCTGCTTTCTCTGCAGCCATCGCTGACCTCCACATAAAAGAGAGACATGTCCCTGATCTACGACATTACATATAGCTGAGTGTGGTGCGGCTGTTTGGTAATGTTCAATAACATTTATCATTTTAAACAATACACCCAGAACAGATTCAATATTGGCAAAATTTACTTACTATGGCTACTTACTATGTAGAGACACAACTTTTGAGATTTTTCTATGGTTCTGTGAGAAACGCTGCTCTAAGGACACATCCACTGAAACCAAAAATGGCTGTTCTATGGCAGCACACACAGAACCCTTTCAGGCACCTTTATTTTTAAGAGTATAAATTTAACCATAACCTTAACCTGTCTATCCTTTCAGCTTTAAAAAGGGAAAATGTAAAAAAGCACTTCACAAAGTCAGCACCAGTTTATTCCCCTGCTTTACCCTGTTTTTAAAAACAGACATGCACATTTTTTGTTGTTTTGCTCTCTCAGCATTCTCAAAGGGCAAGCGTTCCACTTCACTGCACAGACAGTACTCCCTTCCCAGCCTCCTTCGTTCTTTTGCTGAAGCACGGTGAACGATAGAGCTCCATCATTGGCTAAAGCCACTCCTTGTGTGCTGCTGCATGGCTTATCGAGCAGCTAATGGAGGAGGGATGACCCACAGGGCATTCTTTATCCCTCCCTGTGTGCGCCTGCGCGCACCTTACGTCACTTTTCAGTGCCAAATTACATGCTGACAGTGCGCATGCGTATTAAATAGCTACCTCTACTTATCACTCTCCCTCTCATGCGTGCAAACACACACACACACACACACACACACACACACACACACACACACACACACACACAACCACTCTCGCTCTCACATACACACACAGAGATGCAGAAGAAAGGTGATCCAGGCAGCCGCTGTGTTGGGATTGAGTTACGGCTCCTGAGCTGCTGCGCCTCGGCCTCCTGTCTCCACGTCCCGGACCTTCCTTTCTCCTCTCTCTTCCTCTTGCCACCATTAATTTCTCATGAAAGCTACAGAACCTGTGACGGGGCTACATGCCATATCCCCTCTCTTTAAAATGACCACACATACTATGTGGGTCTCACCCTTTCTCTGTCTCACTTTAGACAAAAGAGTTGGTGCTTGAGCATGATGCGCTTTAACTCTGCCGACCAACTCAAATTTATAACCACAATATTTTCCAAATTCTAGACAGTAATGCCAAATCAAGATACACCTAAAATAAAAATAAATTAATGAAAAGAAACAGCTATTAAGCACAAGTTATTAATTTTTCAAGGAAATACTTCTGAGTTGATTAGCTATAAAATAATCCACCTGCATGAGTAATGAGAAAGTCAATCAAAGTAAACTAAGGGAAAAAACAGGAGTTTAAAAACTGGAGTCAAAAGAAATTGAGAAAATGGGGCTCCTAAGAACAGCACAAGACCAGGCAAACCATCAAAACTATCACCATCAGATAAACAACACTTAAGGCTTTCATCTTTGAGAGAGAGGAGAAAATCAAGCTCCACTCTTGATTCAGATTGGGAAAAATCCACAGGTGTTTCTGTTCATCCTTCTACTGTGAGAAAACAACTCAACACTGTCTGGAAGGATGTGTAACTGTCAAGGAACCATTTCTGAGAAAAGAAAATAAACCTTTACACTTTGGAGGTATGGAAAAATATCCCTGCAAATTTCTTTGACAAACTAAAAGCAAGTCTCAGAAAGAATGGAAGCCGTCAAAAAGGAAAAGGAGTGTTGAGGGTTCTGTGTAATTTCTTGTTAA